GGGCGCTAAACCCACCAAATCAAAAAAAAAGGTGGTGAGCACCAACATACAACAGCCGGGATTCGCTGGTGGTCACCCACCCAACTACTAACCGGCCGGCGTGTGGCTTAAGTACGGCTGAGCGGACGGGAAGCCCTGTTTTCCACACCCTATGGTCGTATGTGCTCTATTTTAGCCAGCTAGGGATCATAACGGTATTCTGTAAGGCTCGAGGCCACTGTGCAATGTTGCGCAGATCACGGTTTATCATATTGGATACTTAGACGGCTCGAGTCTTGAGCGAAGAACCTCATTTTTCACCTCTTCCTGCTAATGCTTGCACTGAAAATGAAGTGATGGGATAACTTATTAGCAGTTAGACACATTGGGATACTCCTGGTGAATACATACAAGCTCAATTTCTGATGATTGTTGATTGCATGAGAGGTATTCTGCTTGAGGGCTCTACACCTCTACCATCTCAACTATTCATAGATAGTTTTGATTGATACTAGTACTCTTTAACAACATGAATCAAAGTTGAAGACTTGGCAATGAGCTCAAAGCTTTTATTTCTGACTGGCAAGAGCTGAGGTACTATTTCTGCTTAGTGAAGTTCTTCTGTTTGCTCTTCACAACTGCCCTGTTTGTCTTTACTATTCACTCATCCCCTATCACCACATTCACTAAACCAACATCTATTCACTTTCAATTCCTTCTTGATTCTCCTTCTCTGTCATTACATCTATTTCAACCCGTCACTCATCAGTTTCAGTCTAGTTCAGCATCACGTGCTGCTATTGTCTTCCTGAACTATTTAACCCTCACCTTGAACACTTCTGTCAATTCTTCTCTGAGATGGCGAGAGAGTAAGTCGACGCTTACCAACGTTTATGTCCAAACCACTAAACTCTAGCAGTCACGAGCCTGGAGGAGCAGCTGGTAAGAACAAAATATCCCTCCTCAAATCGTGCAACAAGATCAACGCAAAGATTGAGCTTCAACTGATGTTAATCTGCAGAATGGGAGCTGCCAGGCTACGACTTGAAGGCATCCAAGTCGCGTCGAATAAAACAGACATCTAAATCTCATCGGCCGTCTCCATCCAATATGACCTCAAGAATCGAACCACAGAAACAGCAGCCTCAAGGTCAGACCCAGCAAGCATCTACCTCTCGCGGCGTGGTGACTCCCAAAAGCCAAACTGCACAGGTAAGAGGTGCTGGTCGACCGCTGAGAGCGTGGGGAAGCCCTGCTGTTCGACAAAACCCAACGCGACACACTTCAAACCGATTCTTCAAAGACTCGCCCTCGAAGGCCAAATGGCGTAATGGAGCGCAGCCCAATGGTCAGTGGTACAATATCCATTTTATATGCACAAGGGACTCATCCAATTTTCCTCCAGGTGTTGTGAATCTGCCAGCTCTATTCGGATCCATCAAATATGAGTAGGCAAACCCCGGCTTCTCTTATGGACTTGATGATTAACGTGGATCTCAACCTAGGTTCTTCGGAGTAGCGAGGACCACGATTTCTGGACGGAGCTCTCACGCCTCTCAAGGTCGTCATGAGGTGTTCGAGGAAATTAGCAAGAAGACGGGTGCTTTCGTGAAGCCGCCTGCCTATACCGACCAGGTGAGTCCTCGGACTCAACGAATCCAGTCCGAAAAGCCTCGGTCAAGACGCATTCACTCATAGCAGACAGGCAATCTTTCTTTGGGGTGAACCGTCTCAGATTGCCTCCGCGAAGGAGCATCTTCAGAGAATCATTGCAAAGTGCACTAGTTCCTCCGTTCCGGCCAAGAAAAAGCTTGAGTGGGCGAAGATCACCGCACATTCCGTCAACAAGGAAGCAGATGTTGAGTTGAAGGAAAGGCGCGAACACATATTGCAGCAGCTCAGAAAGGCCCCCGAGAACCCTTCGAGTTTTCCCGAGCAGGTCAGTTCGTGAAACAGTGCAGCCTGGTTTTGCGATCTAACTCCTTGCCCCCATAGATGCTCTTTTTATGGCCAAGAGAAGGCCCGTCTCTCGTTGACTCCCTCGGTCCACAACTAGAGGCCCTTGATGTTATCAGGGCGAAGTTCGGCTGTCACTTGTTCGTCCCAAAGGACATGCCAGCCTATATTTGCGCCTTTGGACAATCCTGGCATACGATGAGACAAATAGTGCAGTGTTTGAGGACCAAGTGGAGCGAAATCGTTGCCAATAGCAATGTGAAGTCCAAGGTTTATGTTGTCGAGCCCCCTGCGCCAGTCTCCATGAAAGAGGCCATTGTCATGGAGCGCAACAAGCAGTTTGGAAAAGCATGTCTCCAGGGATCCTGCCCCAAGGAACTCGAGCAATGGGAGATCCGAGCCGCTCTGATACAATCAAAGAACAATGCTCGTCTGCTCCAGGCGATCGAGAGATCTTTGCGTGGCGTTGCCTTTGTTCGTGGACATTTGCGCATGCGCATCAACCTTGGATCATTTGTGCTGGACGAATACCGCCTCCCCAAGGACAATAATCCCTCATATCAATTCGAAGAGTTTAGAGAAATGTTGCTGCATGAGCAAACAAAGGGCCGCTTAATCCCAGGGTAACGTATGACCCCCACCTGAACGCAGACGGATCACTGACTCCCATGAAATGTACAGACTGAAACTTGGTAAAAATGAGCTCCTCGCCAGATGTTTCAAGGCCACCGATATCCTCGAACCGTGCGATAGCGCGACAGGAAACCTTTCCGATGCCGAACCAGCTTTCTCGGTGAACTTTGAGTTTCTGGGATCTAATAATGCGCTGCTTCGATTAGAAGCCGAGTTTGCCAAAAGTCCTGGTGCGCACGAGTATGAGATCACTCAAAGACGTTGGCTCAGTCCACGTAAGAGCGGCCATTCTGCCAACCAGCGGCCTCCTCTCCAGATAGGCGTCATCGATTTCGAGAGGTATAGCCAACTTTGACCTTGAAGTATCCATTTCCAGACTGATTTGTGCGCAACAGGTCCGACTGGCAGCTTGAAATAAAATCTCTCGAGTTCTATGAGACATCCTCTATCGATGCCGCACTGAGGTCTTTCTCTCATTCTATCAATTTCCGACGCACTGCGGACATCAACGACATCTCCGCAAAGCCACAAAGAAAGGTGGTCTTCCCAGCTTCTGCCCCAGTGTCCAGGTTTGTCGAAAAGACCGCGATCAGGTACCGTCTGAAAGACACCAAATACATCCTCGAAATCGCCCGCTACGACGAGTACAGCCGCACAACTGTGCCAGCCTACCGTGGACAGAACAATGCCACCATCACTGGTCCAATCTCCGAGGTGCCCTCTAGTTCTTGGGGTGCATCGATCTTCGATCCAAACTGGGACAACCTGCTTGGACAGCACGCCAATATACCGCTTGGACATACCGCAAGATACAGCCCTAGTCTGAACACGTTCTTTCCACCTAGGGAGGAAGCCGCAGGAGGCAAATGCGTGGGATTCTGGGAGTTGATCGACTTGGTGAGACGGGTCGCGGAGCTTCTTGGCTCAACAAAGACTCCCTCTGGAGACGTGAAGCAGCAAGTTCCTAAGAGCCCTTGGAGCGATAAGTCCGATGAAGCCATTACTGCACGTCAAAATCGTCAACAGGTTAACATCGGTCCTCAAATGCGTGTCTTGTTGGATGCAGATCTCGGCACGTTGTTCTGAGTGAGCGATCTTTGGCCCACCGGATCGTCACTAGGCTTACATGGAAATGGGTTCCTGTTATCTCTTTATCCTTATGGATTTGCACCAGGTATCATATCATTCTAAGGATGTTGACTGATTTTATTCTGAAGACTGTACCACAAGCGTCTCTTTTGTCACAAAGGTTATGAGATGGAATTAGCCAGCACCTGCAGCTGCGGTTGAAGAAACAGCTTCGCCGCTTAGCATCTTCTGCCTTAGAGCTAGAATAGCCAGTTAGCTTTCGAATGAGACCACACACAGGGCACTGATACTTACCGTCTTCAAAGAGTCTCAGTTGAGCGCTCTTAGTCTGTACAATCTTCTCCAGCTCTACACAATTGGTTTCCAAACCCTTGACCTTCTCTTCGTAGAACTCAATGGCCTTCGGCGCTGTCTGTTCGAGGAAGACAAGCTTAGCCCTCAAACGTCTGGTCTTGCAGAAAGACTCAACAAACCTTCTCAACATAAAAGCCCGTCCCAACATCAACAAGAACCTTTTCGCGATCCGCGAGCTTACCCCTCACATACAGGGAGCTCGTCAGAGGAACCAGTATATCATCCTTCCCATCTGTTCCCTTCTTCTTCGACCCCACGACCCCATCATTGATAGATCGCACGCAATCACGGAATCTGGATTGCGCGGCGCGCAGTTTCTGATGCGAGGTGGTCAGGTGCTCAAGCTCCGACGTGAGGCGGGTTTGGAGGGCGCGGAGTTGAGGCACGGAGAGAGATGCGATGTTCACTGCGGACGCTCCGTTTAGCTTTTCACTCTTCGATTGAAACGTGCAGTATATGGAGTACATCCAATGATGGCACATGCGAGGGGGAAGAGAGCTTACCGGCGCCGGGGGGAGCTCCGCCTGAGCTCGAAGAATCGGATGCGGGGGTATTTGCAGGTGGCATTTTGGTGGGGATGGAATAGTTGATTCAGTGGCTCTTTTCTGAGAAGAAGAGGAACGAAGCCGTGGGCTCCTGGTCAGCGGGGGATGACCCGGTGCGCTGTGCTGGTTTATTTGAGGTGACCGAGCTGTAGGGTTCTTCGATTGATTGATTGATGGAGCCAGATGGGTGCTTTTTTCGGACGGTTGATGGCGGCGCGTGGAGATAGTGGCCGCATGGACGATTTTACTAGTAGGTGGGTATCGCCACGCACCACTCTTTTATCTTTTCAAGCATTGCTTGGGTAGGACCAGCTATGATTGCAGAGAATTATTTGATCGGGTATTGATTGAGATGCTAGTGTACATTCTTTTTACAAATATAAGTACATGGTTTTGCTTGCAGGGTTGCAGACTGGATGGGTCCAGGTTGGCCGGCCGCTGTGCTCATAGTCGATCTAGTAGGGACTGGACGAAGGACGGCAGCTGATCCAATGGCACGTCTTCGCGTAGATTGTCCAAGCGACGACATTGTACCTCGAGGGTCTGTGCCTTCTTCCATCCTTTCCCGACCACGATGATCACGGGGTATCCGATCAAGTCCGCGTCCCCGAGTTTCCATCCCATCTGTTTGTCGCGGTCATCCAGGATAGCATCGATGGGAGAGGCATGATTTGAGACGAGAGAATCGTACACTTTCTCTGCCTCCGTCTCCAGTCCCTTCCCCGGAACGACCACTACCTCGTAAGGTGCCATTGCTCGAGGCCAATTGAGGCCCTTTGAATCCGCGAGACTGTCAGCTACGGCGCTGATCATGCGCGAGACGCCAATTCCATGACAGCCCATCTGCATGGGCACCTGCTGGTCTTTGGATTGAGAGTCCCCGGATAGCGACCGATCGACCATGACGGATGCCTGGAGGACTTCGCTGTACCGGGTGCCAAGGTGGAAGGTGTGTCCGAGTTCGACAGCGGTGTGAGTCTTCAATGAACCTTTGGCGCATTTGGTACATTTGTCGCCATCTTGTACTTTGACGAGGTTCAGAGCTTGGTTTGTGCCAGGGAAGCGATCGAGCATGGAGTAATCAACCTCGTCCGCTGTCCTGTTGACCTTCTCCAGAAGGTCACTTAGAGGAGGGCGCTTGTATACTCTTACCTGTGCGTCATACAGATCCAGCACCTGTGGACGCTCAGAGGAGCTAGAGATACCAGAGTCCCTGTCAGACTTGACCTGTGAGACCCACTGTTCAAGCGGATTCTCTACGCTAAGGTCGATGTCAACACCAGCTGCGGTGGCTATAGATTTGACTGCATGGGAGTTGACTTCGCGTTCCACGGGTTCTCGGTTTGCTTCGTGCATGGAGAACTTGGGGTACCACCCCCGCAAGAGAGTCTTTTTGTCTCTTGATATCGCCATCCATAAGTCAACTGAGACAGTCGGATTGCCTCCGGTTGAAGTTCCCTCCGTGTCGAAGCCTGATGCTTGCCCAGCATTGGTATTTTCAATCTCCTCGACGTTATGAGCCTTTCCATCTGCGAGTTCGTCGTTGTAGACATGGTCGCAGTTCGAGCAGCTGATGACTGTGTCTTCGCCTTTTGAGCTGGGAAAGTGGAATTCGTGGCTCAGGCTTCCGCCCATATTTCCTGAGTCTGCAGCAGCGACTAGGTACGGTATTTTCAACTCATCAAAAAGGTTTTTGTAAGCCGCTTTCACTAAGTTGTACGTCTTCAAGGCTTCTTCAACACTGTAATCGAACGTGTAGAGATCCTTCATAATGAACTCTCGCCCGCGAAGTAGGCCCTGTCTTGGTCGTGGTTCATCTCTATACTTTCTTGCTACATTGCAGCCATATCAGTCACGTAGGTTTATAAGAGATCACTACTCCACTTACAGATTTGATAGACGCGCAATGGGAGGTCTCTATACGACTTGGTGAGGCTTCCCACCAAAGCAGTAATTTCCTCTTCATGAGTAGGGGCAAGAAGGAAACGGGATTCTTTCCGGTCCAGAAATCTGAAGACCTAGATACTTGAGTTAGCGTGAAGTACCGAGTAAAATTAGAAGAAATTCACCTCTGAACCTTCTTTCAGACGACCTGACTGCTCCCAGAGCTCTTGAGAAGATATAGATGATAGAGAGACCTTTGAGGCACCTGAAAACCAGGTCAATGAAAGAGTTTTTTTCGCAGAGCAATCGATGTTTACACACCAACCGATCGCATATGCTTATCAATAAGACGCTCTAGCTTTTCCTGCACCCGCAATCCAAGCGGTAACATATGAAATATTCCTGAGTAGGCCTATCACAACAGTTAGAGGGCGGGCTGTGGCATCCACGACATAGGCAGCTTACCTGTCGGAGGAAGCCACCTCGCATCAAGAGTTCGTTTGCATCCTCTGATTCAAGTCAATGACCTTCGCTCGTGAAAAGGCAAGTATAAGATTACTATACCTTTTGCGCCTTGGAAAGTCTTTTTCGAGATGCCTCCCGTCGGAATCCAGAAATTGGTGACACGATTTCTACCATCCGTCTGTGATATCTCAGTACTTGAGCAACAACTGATCAGATCCTGGGAATGATACATGAAACCCGCATTTCTGAGCTCTACTTAATCGAATCATCCCCAAGTATGCTCGACATGTCCTCGAAAAGCGGCCCGGGATCGGGCGAACCCCAGAAATCATGAATTGACAAAGAAATAATGTTAATAAAACAAAGATCCAAGTGAAAAAAAAATAAGAGTCAATGCAGAATTATACAATCATATAATCAATCATTCTCCTACATCTACAACTGCTACTGAAAGACAGTATCCCGTACATCGACTCTGATGGGCATGGTCCAAGCGGCAGGCACTCGGGGATCGCAAAACTATTCTCCGGCGGCCAACAGCATCTCCGCAGCAAGTTTCGTCTTCGGGCGGCAGAAAAAAAAAGTTGATGGTAGAAGTCAACCACGAGCTTTTTTGTCGTCTGGCCATTTCACAACACTTCAATGGCCAAGGGCAAAGGAAAGAGCTCCTCCGGAGCAAATGCAGTCCCAGTGGCTGACTCCAAGTCTGCTGGGGAATCTCTTCCCCAGCTTGAGGAGGGTGCATTTGCTGGTCTGCGACAGAGAATCGAACAAAAGTTGAAGGACGAGCAGGCTGCCAAACAACACAAGTCGAAGAACAAGAAGAACCAGAATGTGGACAAAGCTACGCCGAAGAAGGAGAATGAAGCTGGTCCGAAGTTCGAACCGAAGCGTGAAATCAAGAGCGATAAGAACAACAAAGGCAAGAAACGTGACCGCAACGGAGAAGTGATCGCCAGGGAAGAGAAGAAGGACGGTGGAAAAGAGGATGACACTTTACGCCAGGAAATTTTGGCACTTGGTGGTACCGAAGAAGACTTTGATTTGCTGGCGGGCGTTGATTCCGAGTCTGAAGTGGAAGTCGCACAAGAGACACAAAAGAAGTCCAAGAACAAGTCTGAGGAGGATTCGCTCCGAAATGAATTATCCGCAATGCTAGCTGCTGCTGGTCAAGTTGTGCCCGATGACATTGAAGACGAGGACGAGGTGACTGGCGCATCTGGCTCAGAGAGAGAGGAGGAGGAGGAAGAAGACGACGTTCAGCAGAGCGAGGACGGCGATCAGTCAGAAGCCGAGAAGGCCTCTTCGGCACCAGTTGCCAAAAAAGCCGAGCCTCCCAAGAAGGAGAAGGCCAAAGAGACAGCCCCCGAGAATATTTTCCCAAAAGAATTCTCGAAACTAGTGAGTATTTCCAAGTCTTACCTCTCAAAAAAGTTACTAAACAAGTGCATAGACCATCCCTCCCAGGTCTGACTGGTATGCGACGGTCCTCCCTCCAATTCCATCAACCACGAAACAAGCAAATACTTTGGCCCGCCACGTGGTGGAACGCGTTCACAATTATGCCATCTCACTCCTTGAGAAGGAGAGTAAGATGTACTCGGAAGCGCAACAGGCATCGGCCTCTTCCTCTCACAAATTCTACACCACCATCATGTCGACCGGTACCCTCAGCGACAAGATTTCAGCTTTGACGCTTGCCGTGCAAGAGTCGCCAGTGCACAACACCAAGCAACTTGAGAATTTGATTGGTCTGGGCAAGAAGCGCAGTCGTGCTCAGGCGGTGGAAGTTCTGAGATCGCTGAAGGATATGTTCGCTCAGGGTACATTGCTTCCTAGTGATCGGAGATTGAGGACTTTTGGAAACCAGCCAGGCCTCATGGCAGCATTCCAAGGAGCTGGAAGCAGGTGGTCGGAAGGTGACCCTCTTCCTGGAGGTTTGCAAAACAGCCATCTCATCATGTGGGCATATGAAAACTGCCTGAAGGACCAATACTTTGAGGTTCTGAAGATCTTGGAAGTGTGGTGCAATGACGAGATTGAGTTCTCGCGCTCCAGAGCTGTGAGTTATGTCTATGAGCTGCTGAAGGAAAAGCCCGAGCAGGAAGCAAACTTGTTGCGGTTGCTGGTCAACAAACTCGGCGATAAGGCCAAGAAAATCGCCTCGAGGGCTTCTTATCTGCTTCTGCAACTTGAGCAAGCTCATCCTTTGATGAAACCAACCATCATCAAGTCGGTTGAAGAGGTCCTCTTCCGGCCGGGCCAGAGCCAGCACGCCAAATACTACGCTATCATCACCTTGAACCAGACCGTTCTTAGTCTGAAGGAGGAGAGTGTTGCCGTTCAGCTCTTGGATACATACTTTGCGCTCTTTGTTTCTCTCCTGAAGCCTGTCAAGGATGGTAAAGGCAAGAATCAAGGCAAGTTCGGTAAGGGTAAGAAGGGCAAAGGAAAGGAGGATCTGGCAAAGAGTCAAGCACAGGAAGAAGAAATGCGCGACAAGCTTGTTTCTGCAGTCTTGACGGGTGTTAACCGAGCTTATCCTTTCACGAGCTCAGATTCTGACAGGTATGTCTATGGTCTACAGTAATTTGATGCTGAGCTAATCTGTCGTCAGACTTTCCAAACACATCGATACCCTTTTCCGTATCACGCACTCTTCCAACTTCAACACTAGCATCCAAGCTCTGATGCTGATCCAACAACTCACCTCATCTCATCAAGTGGGTGCTGATCGCTTCTACCGAACCCTATATGAATCACTTCTCGACCCACGAGTTGCCACTTCCTCGAAGCAGTCGCTATACCTCAACCTGTTGTTCAAGGCTTTGAAGAACGATTTGAACCTCCGACGGGTCAAGGCCTTTGTCAAGCGGATCGTACAAGTCCTTGGTCTGCATCAGCCGGCTTTCATTTGCGGTATCTTCTATCTTATCCGCGAGCTGGAGAAGACTTTCACCGGTATTCAGGCTTTGTTTGATCAACCAGAGGATAACGAAAGCGATGATGAAGAGGTGTTCAGAGACGTGCCTGATGAGGATGATGAGGAGCAAGCTCAACCTGCAGTTCTCGAAGATAAGCAACAGAAGCCTTCAAACCGATACGATCCCCGCAAGCGGGATCCGGAACACAGCAATGCTGACAAGACTTGTCTGTGGGAATTGGTAAGATGGATTTCACTTTGCTAGCACCTCAGCGTTCGATAAAGCTGACATAGTCTATAGCTACCGTACTTGTCTCATTTCCATCCGTCTGTGTCAGTCAATGCCGCCCACCTGCTGGACCACCGCCCGATGAGCGGAAAGCCAGACATGACAATTCACACATTGACACACTTCCTTGACCGCTTCATCTACCGAACCCCCAAGGCCTCCGCAATTACCCGTGGTGGCTCAATCATGCAACCTCTCGCTGGTAGCGACGCGAAGGACCGGCTTGTGGTTGCCGCCACAGGTAGCCAGGATCTTCCACTCAACTCTGAGTTATTCTGGAAGACGAAGACCGAGGATGTGGCAGCGGAAGATGTTTTCTTCCATGAATACTTCAGCCGAGTTGGAAAGAGCAAGGACAAGGCCCAGAAGAAGAAGGCCAAGGAGGCCGGGGCGCGCGATGAAGAGGACGCAGAAGGACTCAGTGATGCTGAATCGGAGATCTGGGAAGCCCTTGTCAAGTCGCGGCCTGACTTGGAGGATGCCGGCGATAGCGACGATGATCTCGACCTGGATGATCTCGAATCCGCCTATGATCAGGACGAGGACGAGGAGGCTGCCGAGAGCGACGATGAAGTCATCTTCAACGACGAGTCCGACGAAGAAATGGAAGACCTCGATGCTGGCGCAGAGTCCGAAGCTGAGGAGCCGCCTACCAAGAGCAAGACCAAGGGCAAGAAGGAGGAGGAAGAGGAAGCCCTGGACGAGGAGGACGATTTCGACATGGATGTGTCGGACGAGGAAGCATTCGTCGGAAGCGACGAGGAGCTCCCGTCCGATATCGAGCTTGGGGGCGTGGAGCTGCCCAAGGAGGACGAGGCATCTGGTCGGAAGAAGAAACGCAAGCTCAAGCACCTGCCAACATTTGCATCAGCGGACGACTATGCAGCCTTGCTGGCCGGGGAGGACGAGGGGATGTGATGTTCTGGTACGGGTCTACGGAGATGCATGTACATTTGCATATAGATACCACAAAAGTCTATCTTATACCACGTGGGTTTCGAGGGTTTTCAGCCATGATCTTCATTTCTGCAGCTTTTGGATTTCTAGACAGGACTGGAGTCACGTGCACCATGACTATCACACTCGTCATATCCAGCACCTCGCATCATCATGGAACCAACAGGTGTCGGCTTGGAAAGTCCAGCACTAGTTATTCTGCGCCATGGTCCTCTAGACCTTAGCGCTCATGAACCATCAGAGATTTCATGGTGTCCTCCGCTTCGCTTCCCATATGGCAAAATTCAGAGAAGAGTGGAGAGTGGAAATTTCCCCCTAGGTAGTACACTGCCAGATGCGGCGTCCGGGGCGGGACACGATCTGGCGGCCCCACACCGCCACGTCCAGAACTAGCGGTGATTGGTGGTGGAGAAGCAGGGTTACACTGCAGCATGGGCCAATGGGGAGCGGGAACTGGAGAATGGGGGCATGCTCTGATGACGGGATGGATGGATGTTTGCAGTCACGGCTTTCTCATTATTTATTATTAATGTGGACTATTGTGTTGAAATCTCTGCTATTTTCATATGCATTCACAGTATGAATGTCTTGGTCTTAGATGTAGATATGGAATAATCACGAAAGAGAAAGATACAATTCAGCTGGAGAGTCAGCCAAGACCAGGTAAAGTTCGCCTCGTACAAGGAACCTTTTCAGCCACATCTATTCCCTGCCATCCGTTCCCCAATTAGGTTGGACAGAATAGTTGTTACCTTAGGTATCTGTACTCGACGTGGAGAGCTCCTACGTCAACTGGACTACAACGACTACACCGATTGCGGCAAACTCTTCTCACTCACAGTATACTATGGGTCTCTCCGACTGCTGCAAGTGAACGATTCTAGAAAATCCTGACTGAGCACGTCATAGAGCCTAAAGAGTGGTCATCAACCTGGCCAAGGTTATGGGTCTGCTTTGTCGGTTTCGCCGTCTGCATTGCGTCTACTATCTGCCTCCATAGTCCATACTGTACCTTAAAGTACGCAGTCGTTGGGACCTAGTCTATTAGCCGGTTCATAAGAGTTAGAATAATCCATGGCATTATTATTTTAGTCATTGAACATTAATTGCGATTGCAATCTTACTCTGATCATAGTTCATTCGCCGATATGAGTTTTCTTTTTCTCTCTGCTCTTCATCTTCTTTGAATTTACTTGTTCTTTTCTCTTGGCCGATTCTTCTTCTATCTTGTCTTCGTCTTCCCCTCATCTTATCGCTGGGCAATCGTATCGCTGCTAACCGTAAGCCAAGTGAACGTTTTGGTCTGCTATTCAGTGTTTAATTTCTATCTCTTCTTTCTCCTGAATATCCTAAGATCAATCCCTCAAATATCTGGTATGTTTTGGTATCTTAAATATGTGCTAAGTTTACCAGGGGTTATTCCTTTCTGATGAATGATACTAACATCTCCACCTGTATAGACCCGCCCAATTCAAAGAGGCGCAGTACATGCATTCAAAGGTCTACAACATTACTTCTCTCGCTCACACTACCGACTGCTTCCATTTGCGGTTTGTCCGTACGTTGAAATGGCGGGGTTCACCACTTCAGAAAAACCCCCAAATGACGACCGCCGCTCGTCCAGCATGTCCGACCAGACCCATGATTCACCCGATAAATTGAAACATTTGGATCTTGAGGGTCAGGGTCATGCAAACGCACTTGGTGTGCAGTCTGATTCAGAGACGGGCGATGTCGGTAGGCAGATTGAGCTTGAGGCGGAGAATTCCATCAAATATCGCACATGTAGCTGGCAGAAGGTATGGCAACCGGTTAAGCCATTTGGACGGCGCAGAGCGTTAACCTCATGTTGGTGTATAGACTGCCGCCTTGCTCTTTTCCGAGTATATCTGTCTGGCCATCATGTCGTTTCCGTGGTCATATTCCGTCCTGGGCCTCGTTCCGGGTCTAATTTTGACTGTGGTTGTGGCAGCGATTGTGCTGTATACGTCCCTGATTGTTTGGTATGCTTGATTGACATAAATTCGCGCGGTTTGGGTACTGATACCAACTAGGAAGTTTTGCTTGCGCCATCCTGAAGTCCGTGATGTCTGTGACATCGGCCAGTACCTCTTCTGGGATTCCAAGATTGCTTGGTATTTGACTGCTGTCATGTTCTTGTTGAACAACACCTTCATTCAGGTATCAATCTCCTTCTTGTCATATCCCAAGCCCCGTGCGGGTTCTAAATCCTCTTAGGGCTTGCATTGCTTGGTCGGTGCCAAATATCTCAACACGATGACCAATCATGGGGCATGCACTATCGTCTGGTCATTGGTTACTGCCATAATCTCCCTGGTGTTCTCTCTGCCACGGACATTTAGCGGATTGTCCAAGGCTGCCACTTTGTCGGCTGTTTTCACCTTTGTATCTGTCATGCTGGCGCTCATCTTCTCGGCCATCGAGGATCATCCGGCTGGCTACACTGCCGCACAGGGTGATCCCATCGTGACCGCGATCCCAGTGGCAGGCACCACGTTCGTTTCCGGTCTCAATGCATTTCTGAACATCAGTTATACATTCATCGGCCAGATCACGCTTCCCAGTTTCATCGCGGAGATGAAGGAACCCAAGGACTTTTGGAAATCGGTTACAGCTGTGACGATTGCCGAAATCATTGTCTTCAGCCTGGTAGGCGCCATTGTTTATGTCTATACGGGAAATCAGTATATGACCGCGCCTGCATTCGGCTCGATCGGCAACGAGGTCTATAAGAAGGTATCTTTCTCGTTCATGATTCCGACCTTGATCTTCCTGGGAGTTCTATATGCCTCCGTGTCGGCACGTTTCATCTTCTTCCGCCTTTTCGACGGCACACGCCACAAGGGCAATCACACCGTTGTCGGATGGGCCGCATGGGCCGGCATCCTTGCCGTCCTTTGGATCATGGCCTTCATTATCGCCGAGGTCATTCCGTTCTTTTCCGATCTGCTCTCCATCATGAGCTCCCTATTCGATTCGTTCTTTGGGTTCATCTTCTGGGGGGTCGCCTATCTCCGCATGAGACATGCAGACCACGGGCCGGGCTTCTACAAGAAGCGCGGTATTCGCGGCTGGGTTGGCTTTATCGTCAACATCGGGCTGATCTTGACGGGATTCTTCTTCTTAGGACCCGGAACCTATGTAAGCCTTCCTCTCAAGCATTTTCATGAGCGTGTCGCTAACATGATCCTATGCAGGCTGCCGTTATGGGCGTCATTATCAGCTATCGGACGGGTTCGGTTGGAAGCCCATTCACGTGCGCCGATAACGGGTTGTGATTTTTTATTCTTCTTATTCTTGTTTATCTTTAAGACGAAGACCGCGAAGCTGGATCTTCGGGCCCCGACGGCTCAATGGATCTGCTATTGAAGACAGACTGTTTGTTGCCATTCATGATGTTTTGCTAGTTGAAGGTTGCGCGGCGGTTTCCTGGCTCCATATTCATTTGAATGTGCTTGACTGCTTAGCATATCTCGATCCACAGATCCAGTTCCCTGAAGGGTGGCCAGCAGCCAAATCCCGCGGCCAAAATGTGGGCACCATTACGCTCCGGTGGAGACTAGGATGGCCGTCGGTCTGTTTGTCAGTCAGGAACTCTGTCAAAACGCGGCCAATTTGACCGCCAAAATACGTAGATTGTTAGACATGCGTATCTTGTAGATTCGCTGATATGATGTCTCTCCCTTAATTATCATAGCTTCTCATCTCCAACAAGATCGAGACATTCCGAACCACACCGATTGTCCGCGGAATTGTCCTATCGCCACGTGACTTTTCCGTTATCGCAGCTCTTCTCCGCAATTTCACCACCGTTCTTTATCTGCTCAACTTTTTGATTCTGTAGATATCTTTTCTTCTACACTTCAGTTATCCATCATGTCTGCTTTACGACCTTTGCGACGAGGTGTGAACCTCCTGGGCTCAAGATATGTCTCTCAATCCGCTCGTGTCGCGGCCAATGGCTCCAACATTCTCCAGCGGCAGCTCCCATCTCCGCTCCAGGGCCGCTCCAGGGCCGCTGGCATAGCTCCCCGATTCACTGCTGGGCCTTCGGTGAACTCCCAAAATGAGGGCATGCGACGTTATGCCTCGTCTTCTGCCTCTGGACCGGTCAAAAAGACTCAATTGTATGATTTGCACATTGCCCGGGGAGCGAAGATGGTGCCCTTTGCGGGGTACTCGATGCCCCTGCAGTATTCGGATCTCAGTCACGTCGAGAGCCACCACTGGACCAGAGAAAAGGCTAGTTTGTTCGACGTGAGCCATATGTAAGCATTTTCCCTGACATAGATGATTGGCACTCCAGAGACGAGCAGATACTAATCTTGGCTAGGGTTCAACATCATCTCAGCGGTCCCGGTGCCATGGAGCTTCTGATGAAGGTCTCCCCCTCATCTTTGGACAAGCTCAAGCCTAACTCCTCGACACTCTCCTGCCTGCTTGAAGAAGGCACCGGCGGCATCATCGACGACACCGTCATTACCCGTCTCGACGGCGGCGCATTTTACTTCGTCACGAACGCTGGCCGCCGCACAGAGGACCTGGCCTTCCTGCAGGCCGAGATCGAGGCGTACAGGCAGACCCACGGCGCCGACAGCATCAAATGGGAGATCCTCGATGACCGGGCCCTCGTCGCCCTGCAGGGCCCGCTCGCCGCCTCCGTCCTCCAGCCCCTGGTCAGCTCCCACGGCGCGGCCTCCCCCGCCCACACCGACCTCAGCACCCTCTACTTCGGCAATTGCCGCTCCCTGCACCTCACCCTGCCCGACGGCACCCCAACC